TGACGAGCTGAGGTGGAACTGATTGTCACCTCAGCTCTGAGTAGATTTTTAATTTTTCTGACTGATTTTTGAACATGTCAATTAATTAATTTTTCATCTCTTGTATAATAATTTCTCAAAATGTAGCAAATGTGTTTACTGCATCTCCTCTATAAGCTTAAGAACCTGACATAAATTTGTGTAAATCACAATCTCCTTTTCTTCTCCCTTCTTGGTTAATTCCAAACATGGACTAGTTTACTTGTCTAAATATGTATCTGTTAAAACTTGGCTGGCATCAGGGAATGAATGATTACTAAAACGCTACACTGATCTTACTGTGATCTTGTCACTGTTGTTCCTATTCCTTCTATTTAAAAATTAGTTATCTCTTTTTTTCTCTTAAAAGAGAAACTGATCCAGATGGTTAGAAAGCATGGCTATCGGTGGATGTGTTACAAATTGGACTGGAAATAAGAATGATAATAGGAAACAATGGAACTTCAGAGGAGCAATTATAGGGAGAAATGATGGGCTTAAGCCAAAAGAAAATTCAGATTTTTCCCCTTCATTAAAATTTTGCTTTGTCACCATGAAGTGACATTCTGAGGAACAGTCTGGGCCCTTTGACATTGATCTAAATATCTAATCACTAAGTTTTATCACCTCTTTGAACATTCTGCCTATCAAAGCTTTTAGGCATGTTAAGGATTGTATCTTCAAATCTGGGTATCTTTCTTTAAGAAGAGGTAAGAGGTAAGAAATGTATTTTGTGTACCCCTCAGTATTTTATAAATTTGCATTAGAAAGTCAGCTAATTCTGATTGCAATATCTGGCTGATAGAATCATTCTCTTGTTTAATGAATTCTGTTTCTTGATGCACTCAAAGGAATCTAATTCATAGTTTGGGATTCAATATATTAAGGTGTTGAATATTTGAGAAACTTTTGAAAACAGCTTGTTGTTTCACAAGAAAGATATTCTATTGTTGCTCAGCCCTCAATAGGAACTGTATTAATAATAAAGAATGGGGTTAGTAATGAAAGTCCAAGCCTCGTGCAGATATATGTTTGATAGGCCTGATATCTATGGAGATTCTCAATCATCCAGGTCATAATTGTCCCAAGGATGCTTTTTCACAAGGCAACTGGAGTTTCTTGTTTTGCTTCTCATCCAAGAAGCTTCTTCAGCTCTGAATGGATGGTGGGGAATGGAAGGGTTTATATTCCTTGCAGACAGCTGGTCATTTGCATTCTTTTAGAGAGTCGTTGATGCCATCTGGAGGTTTATCTGTCATCAGGGTCACCTGAGTAATGCAAATGGGTGTGGAGCCTTCTTGGAACTGTTGAAAGAACTGTGTTGTAGTCTGGCAATTGATGATGTCATATCCCTTTCCCTCTGTTGAGAGAGGGCTGGTCAATTTTGAGATAGAGGCCTCTTTGACCTCTCTTTCAAACTAGCTGTCCTTTCTGTCCAAAATCTGGACTTTGGTGTCTTCAAAAGAATGGCCTTTGTCTTTTAAATGCAGATGGACTGCTGAATCTTGTCCTGATGGGTTTGTTCTCCTAGGTTGTGCCAATCAGGACAAGATTCACGACTCTCTAAAAGAATGCAAATGACCAGCTGTCTGCAAGGAATATAAATCCTTCCATTCCCCACCATCCAGTCAGAGCTGAAGAAACTTCTTGGATGAGAAGCGAAACGCCTTCAAAAAAAACCCCAAGAAAGTCCAGTTGCCTCATGAAAAAGTATCTTTGGGATGATAGGCCTGATAAATATGATAAAATCAAATGGTTCTGCCCTAGCTGAAATCTTTGTCATGACTCTTGTTGGGTTTTAATCATGTGGATTTACTTTCTTGCAGCAAGGATGCTTGATGCATTTTTTTACCTTAAAAAGTCTTTCATATGCAGCCACTGTATGTGGAATATGTTCTTCTGTGAAACAATCATATGGTGGTAAACTCATTACACTTGACATGCAGATTCAACATTCGTGAGTAATGCCACCATTTAGATATAATTTCCCACTTAAGCATTCTTCTGACAAGAACAAATATGCTACTTGCATGGGAAATGCCCAAGCAATACAGCATAGCAGCATCTGATCTCATCTTTGCAGCACTGTGTAAGGAAGTCAGTATCATTCTAGAGTCAATTTGAGTCACTGGAGAACCACTGCTGTCCGAATTACAAACATGACAAATGAACCGTACCTAGGGCCTCATTGCAAGCTGGTTTCTCATAGAAAGATCAGATCAAGATAATTCGGGCATAGTTATGAATGCTGAAATGCTTAATTAAGCTTTCATGATTGACTTTCGAAGGGACTAACGTCAAAATATCAACCTCCAAAACATAGCCACAGTTTTCTTAAGGCAAGTTTTAGGATTTAAAATGCTGTTCCTTCTTTGAACCATAGATGCAGAGAGTTTGCCAAGAGCTTTGCGTCATATCTAGTGTAGACAGCAAACAGGTCTTCTTCTGCAGTAGCATGATATAAGATAGATACTCATCTGGGACATTAGGTTCGTGGTGAAAGGAAATCCCAAAATCTATTGAACTATCAGGCCCTGCCCCAAATTTAACCAATTGATGACAAATTTCAGGAGTATGGACTTGTCCAGTCATCTCTTAATCCACCATATAACCATATGGAGATGAAATAATGTTGACCATGAAATACCTTTTAGAGCAGACATGTCAAACACAAGGCCCAGGGGCCGGATGCAGCCCGTGAAGTGGTTTCATGTGGCCCGCGAAGCCATCCTGGAAACAGTGAGGGAATGGCCCCTGCTGCCTTGGCCCTGACCCAGGCCGGCCGGGAGCCAATGTACAATTTTGCATCTATGCTGAAACACATTCAGTCTTAGCTCCACAAGGACTTCTAGACTTTAATTGTCTAGAAACAGCGAAGAACCAGCCCCTGCCACGTCGGCCCTGCCCCCTGGGTGCATGCTGGGGAAGTGTCATCCTTTGTGAAGAATGAAGAAATGGACCATGCCTTGGCGCTTGCCCCAGTCCCACCCCCTTCTGCCAGAGACCCTCAGATTTGTCCCAGTCCTGCCCAGGCCCCCACAAGCACCCTTGATGCGAACGATGTAGAGCTGTCCATGCCCACCCAGTAGGCCACACCCACTCCATCCACGCCCACCCAGTCGGCCACACCCACCCAGCCCCCCGAGGGCAACCACAATGCTGATGTGGCCCTCAATGAAATTGAGTTTGACACCCCTGTTTTAGAGCATCCTGACCTGTGCTAGCCAGCCCACATTTTGAGATTATCATCAGAGGCCCTTCACATTTACCAGCTACCAACGGATATTTGCTGGTCCATTCAAAAAGAGCACAGTTTGTTAATAGCTATGGAGATTCTCCATCATCCAGGTCATGGTTGTCCCAAAAGTGGTTTTTCAAAAGACAATTTGAATTTTCTTGGGGTTTTTTTTTTCTTGAACACGTTTCGCTTCTCACCCAAGAAGCAGAACTGAGGAAGCTTCTTGGATGAGAAGCAAAATGTTTTCAAGGAAAAACCAAGAAGGTTTTTCACCCCAGAAATTACTTCCCAAATTGCCAATTGTGCCAGATGCCGTATCTTTCAACTTCCGGCTGAAAAACCCAACTAAGAAAAACACCAGAGCCATTAATTACTCTAATATAATCTTTAATGAGCAGAATCATTACGGTAGGTTCAAAGTGAAAGCTAGCTCTGAAGAAATGTCGGGAAACAGTTAATTAAAAGAATGAATCTCCTTCTCTCCTCTCTGAAAAGTTCAGGTCACACTGTCCAATACATATCCTGGTAATTATTATGAGAAGGTACGTGAGTTTTGCCAAAACAAAACTTCTGGTCTCATGATGATAAGGACACGTGTGGATTCAAAGTTCACCCCTTCTCCCTCCCCGTTGGCAAGCTAGAAGCACGCAGCAGTCCTAAAGACAGTAGGGTTCGTAGCATGAAAGTATCTGTGTTTCAAAAATACAGAAGTCCACTAGATGGCAGTAACCAATACAGAAAATGCTGATGCTTTGTTGCCATCCCATAAACATTTGATTTTTTTTTTTTGCATTCCAGATATAGTAGTCCCATCTTGAACCTTTGAAAGTCCCTCTGCTTTGCGGATTTTCCATTAAATTATATGAGTAGATGAGTTCTTTTTCTTACAGTAGCAGACTGGATGTTGGGTGTTTCTGTTTTAATTGTACTTTAATATTTTATTATTTATTAGTATGGTGCCTTTAAGCAGCTCAGAGACAAGAATCCTTCTTTATCAACCTCATCCATGTTTTGCAATACCACTTCTCCTGTTGTTGCTTTTATTTTCGAGCCAGAAGTACTTAAAAAAAAAAATCACCAAAAGCCATACTGCAAATCAATAAAACCACCACCTTCATCGCTACAAGTTACCCTGTGTGTGGTTTTAGAATGATTAAATCTCTATGAGAGGTAGGAAGGCATTGACTAATGTTTTCAATATTCAAAATTTAAATAAATAAATATATCATTTTCTCTGCTGCATCACTCCTATAAATTTTGATACTATGCAACAGCCTCCAGAACTATTTTGGAAAATACATTGCCCCACATTGTTTTAGAGCAGAGGAGGGAAATTTGTCATATTTCAAATGCTGTTAGAACAATAGGATAGCCCAGGGGTAGGCAACCTTGGGTCTTTTATGACTCGTGGACTTCAACTCCCAGAATTCCTGAGCCAGCATGGCTCAGCTTGGAAACCTCTCCCTTTCCCCTCAGCATGGCTGGCTCAGGAATTCTGGGAGTTGAAGTCCCCAAGTCATAAAAGAGCCAAGGTTGCCCACCCCTGGATAGCCAATGGTGAAAGATGTTGAAGATCAGTTACAGGTTGAGGACCAAAAACCTGGTGGTTTTGTGGTGGGAGTATTTGAAGCAATGGTGGCATTTATTTAATTTTCTTAAACTACTGGCTGTCTAAATACATTCTGGGGAAAAAAAGTTCCTTTCATTTTCATTTTAGGAGTAACGCTTTGTCTTCTGATTACAGGCAATGAAAGCTTAGAAGAAAATTATGTCCAAGACAGTAAAATGGGATTTGTTATCAATGCAATCTATGCTATGGCTCATGGCTTACAAAGCATGCATCATGCCCTTTGCCAGGGCCAGATTGGACTGTGCGATGCTATGAAGCCAATTGATGGAAGCAAACTTTTGGAATTTCTCCTAAATTCATCATTCACTGGAGTCTCCGGAGAAGAAGTGCGGATTGATGAAAATGGAGACGCTCCTGGAAGGTACAACGCTATAAGATCATCACTGTTTATTCATCTTAAGGTTGAACATAAATGTCTGTGTTCCTACTACTGTGTACTGTTTGTAGTATACACAAGAACATTCCATGAAGGCAATTAAAATGAGTAAAGAAAATCTGTCACAAGCATGCTTTGTGGACCATAAGGATTTATTTTCTGCTTGTTTCACAAATTCAAGGTGGCCTTACAAGGCTTAAGATCTTCTTTCAGAAAAGAAGTAGGGTAGTGGAGATATACCAGTTCACCAATATCAGTGAAGTACAAAGGTGGCTTGGCTTGGCTTGGCTTCATTCATAAATTCATTCATTTCAATTCAAGAGCTTGCCTTCAGAAATCGTGGGCGCTCCATCACCGGAGGTTTTTAAGAAGAGACTGGACAGACATTTGTCTGAGATGGTATAGGTTCTCTTGCTTGAGCGGGGGGCTGGACTAGATGACCTCTAAGGTCCCTTCCAGCTCTATTCTATTCAATGTTATTAAAAAAAGTATATGTATATTTCAGATTAAGGAGGAAAAAACTCACAAAGAAGCTAGAAGAGTTATCTTCTTTTACCCCGTTCCCCAAATCTGGATTGACTATAAAATAGCAAAAGGAGCCTACAATTATCTTTTAGATATAATTAATAAAAGCCCAGATGATAAATGGGACTAGTGTATACAGGGTAATTTTCTACTGAAAGCATGAGCAATGAGACTTGGTTTAAATTAGTGACTAAACTTGGCAAAGCTGTCATCAAATAAACATATCTTGGTCCCCGATAACAGCCTGTTTTCACTTCAGAGACATTTAGAGAAAGTCATCTGAAAATGTTTATCACCTGCTAGATTCATATAGGAGTAACCAGGTTTTTTTTTAAAAAAAATATCCAGGTCCCCAATCTGTAAGAGACTTGAAAAGTCAGTGCTTTGTATTTTGACTTGGAAAAAGTCTCAAGTCAGCAGAATCCTAGGTGGTCTTGGTGACCTTGAATACTTTTTACCACTTTTGATTAATTCCCCAGTTGCAGCCATAAGTAAAAGGGAAGGATCACTGCTGTGTGTGGTATGTTAGACTGTTTTCAAAGATGATCCTGAATATTCTTTTAATGAAGAATTTAGTTGCTGGAATCTTCTCTGGTTGAGTTGTTCATCTTTCACTCATTCTAAAATAATGAGGTTGGATGCATGTTTGCTTCTTCCCTCGGTTTAGGAGTGCTTGTCTTCATCTTGAAATAATCTGCAGCCCAGATCCCTACAGGAACATACTCAATGCCTATAGAGATTCTCAGTCATCCAAGTCATGGTTGTCCCAAAAGTTTTTTTTTCAAAAGAAGGCAATTGGACTTTGTTTTTCCTTGAAGACATTTTGCTTCTCATCCAAGAAGCTTCTTCAGTTCTGACTGAATGGTGGATGGAAGAATTTATATTCCTTGCAGTCATCTGGTCATTAGCATTCTTTCTGAGAGTCGTTGAGGCCACTTGGAGGCACAGTTGTGCCCTCAGGGTCACCTGAATAGGAAAAGCAAAGCTCAGTTGCCTTTTGAAAAAGCATCTTTAGGAACATGCTCTCTTCCACTTGTCTGCTCATAGCTTAACAACTGTCAAGATTCTTCTCTGAGTCCCCATTAATATCATGCAGTACACCAGAATACTCTTCCTAAATATAAGTTTATCAATGGCAAGTTCAGAACTTCTCATTTGCTCCAGCATTCTTAGACCTTCATGCTGTCTTTTGTTGTGCCTAATAGTTACACTTCACATTTTTGTTATCTACTCTTTTTACTATCTAGAATTCAGTGTAAGTGAATACTTCTAGTGCCACTTTGATACTTTACAATTAAGAAGTATTTCAAGCATAGCGTCTTTGTGCCAGTAGAATCAAAGACTTAATTCATGGGTGCCTTTTTTTTTTTTTTTTTTTTTTTTTTTTTTTTTTTTTTTTTTTTTTTTTTTTTTTTTTTTTTTTTTTTTTTTGCTTCAAGGGGAAAGATGAGGCATGAGTGAAGCTTGGCTGATTCTGCTGGTGTTTTGCAGGAGCATCAGCAGAATTAATTGACCTGAGTTACAAGTGGAGCATTTAATTTGCTGAAATGGATCAATATTAGACTATTGAACTAGGGGGTCTGTAATACTCTGCCTAGCACATCAGATTAATATATACTAAGGTCGGAAGTTTTCACTGCATTTTAAAATTTGCTCTCTCTCTCTCTCTCTCTCTCTCTCTCTCTCTCTCTCTCTCTCTCTCTCTCTCTCTCTCTCTCTCTCTCTCTCTGTGTGTGTGTGTGTGTGTGATATTATTAATGTTTCTTAATAAAATATGTACACCTTATAAGGCTATTGAGATGCCACATACAGAATTTGGAATAATTCTGTTATGTGGCATGAATAAATAAAGTGGCTTGACAGTATTGGAATGTAACTACTTGCATTAATCTTGAAGGAGCAATGTTTGATACTATCAACAGGATTCAGGACCCTCAGCCATACCCTCCTTCTAGCCACGGGGTCTCCAAACCATTTCCCGTGGGCTACATTCAGGTCGCTAGAAGGTTCTTTCCAGTCCACCAGCTCTTCCCATGTGCTGTTCTCCCTTGGATCATTTCTGCCCCCCCCCCTCCAGTGTGCAAAGAAAACCCCATCTGAACTGGCTCAGGACCAGCCGGACAAGGAAGAGGAAGCTGACTGGAGGGTTGCTTCCTTTACCTGGGGTGGGTGGGGGAAGTGATCTGGGCTGGTTGGACACTGGCCTGATCCAGCAGAGCTTCTCTCTGTTTTTATGTTTTATGCCCCGTTTGCTAAGGTTTGACATTCTTCTTATATCATTTGTCCATACAAGCATGGCATTGTTTTTTCACTTCTCTTTTCTTGTTGCTGTGAATCATGTTGAGCAAAATAAAACACATTTGTTCAGTTAAATTTTATTCGCTCATTTATAAAACTGATTTTACAATGTTTGCAAAATGTCCATTATGGCCCTCAGACTGAAAAGTTGGGAGACCCCTGTTGTAGGCCATCTATGGGTTCTGGGAGTTTTACGATGTTTTCACTTCTACCTTGAGTGGTTCTACTCAATCCTCAGGGAGGAGGTAGGTAAGCACTCACGTCCTTAGGAACTCTGCTCCGGCTTTGGACCTTTCCTAGATGTAATTAAACATTTGTGTGAAACTGGTGGGGAAGGCTTTCTGTTGGTTTGGCATGAAAAGCTAATTCATGGTAATTTGTTCTTCCAGAACAGATAGGGATAATGGCACAGAGGAATTCCTTAAAGATGAGAAATCAAAAATCAATCATCTTTGATGTGAACAACAATATGTGCAGCTAAGAACTATGCAGCCTATTAAATCTGTTCCTGAACAAGATGAATAGAATTGCATAGCATAGCATAGCGTAGCATAGCGTAGCGTAGCGTAGCACAGAACAGAACAGAACAGAACAGAACAGAACAGAATAAAATAGAATAGAATAGAATAGAATTCTTTATTGGCCAAGTGTGATTGGACACACAAGGAATTTGTCTCTTGTGATATGCTCTCAGTGTACATACAAGCAACAAGCGATAAATCATGATTATAATCAACATAAAAATACATTCATCATAAATCATAAGATACAACACTTAGTCATAGGATACTAAATAAACAAACAACATAAATCATACTATGATACTAAATAAAACAATTAATATAAATCTTAAGATAAAAGCAACAGTTATAGTCATAAGAAGATAAGGAGATAGGTAATAGGAAAGATGAGAAGAAGAATAGTAGTACAGCCTTGCTAAGTAATTTGACAGTGTTGTAGGAATTAATTTTTCAGCAGAGTGATTGCATGGGGGGAAAACTGTCCTTGTGTCTAGTTGTTCTGGCGTGCAATGCCCTATAGCGTCATCTTGAGGGAAGAAGTTGAAACAATTTATGTCCAGGATGTGAGGGGTCTGTAAAATATTTTCACAGCTCTCTTTCTTGCTCATGCAGTATACAGGTCCTCAATGGAAGGCAGGCTGGTAGCAATTGTTTTTTCTGCAGTTCTAACTATCCATTGATGTCTGTGTCTGGGTTTGGTTGCAGTGCCAAACCAGACAGTTATAAAGGTGCAAATGACAGAATCAATCATTCCTTTGTAGAACTATATCAGCAGCTCCTTGGGCAGTCTGAGCTTTTTGAGTTGGCGCAGGAAGAACATTCTTTGTTGTGCATTTTTGATGACATTTTTGATGTTAGGTGTCCATTTAAGTCTTGAGATATTATAGAACCTAGAAACTTGAAGGTCTCTACTGTTGATACTGTGTTGTCTAGTATTGTAAGAGGTGGTAGAATAGGAAGGTTTCCACTAAAATCTACTATCATTTCTACAGTTTTGGGTGTGTTCAGTTCAAGATTGTTCCTGCCACACCACAAGGCTAGTTGTTCAACGTCCCGTCTGTATGCAGATTCGTCGTTGTCTCGAATGAGACCAATCAGTGTTGTATCATCTGCAAACTTCAGTACTTTAACAGAGGGATACTTTGAGATGCACTTGTTGGTATAGTGAGAGAAGAGAAGTGGAGAGAGCACACAGCCCTGGGGTGTGGGTGTGTGTGCTAATTGTACAAGTATCTGATGTGATTGTTCCTAGCTTCACCTACTGCTTCCTGTCTGTTATAAAGCTTACAATCCACTTACAAGTGAAAGTACTAGGAGTATATGAATCATCTGAGATTTGATTTAAACAATTGATTTTATGAGTTGTGTGAATTTGATTCAAATATTGATTCCCTTCCACAAATTGAGTTACTATGTTCAAGAGAATCAGCAGATTGAACTGATTCAGCTCAAATGCTTGATTCAGCTCAAAAGTACCTGAGTTGGGAAGCACTGATTTAATTTAGTGCATAAAATTAATTTGGAGAACTGATGAAAAAATCAGTTTGGAGGGTAATTCAATCAAATCATCTCTGAATTTAAAAAAAAAAAATATCTGTGAATCAGTTCTTCACACAACTCCACAAAATATTGGTTGTCATTAATAATCTAGAGCAGTCGGGTTAAAATTTAGCTTGTGCAACTTCCTGGAATCTTCGAGTGACTACTACATGGAACAGATCCAGAGGAGCACTTTGCTCATGAGGGAAGCACTTTATTA